AGTAGCTGGGACCACAGGCGCCCACCACAATGCCCGGCTATTTTTTGGTTGCAGCCGTCATTGTTGTTTGGCAGGCCCAGGCTGGATTGGAACCCGCCACCTTAGGTGTATATGGCTGGTGCCTTAGCCACTTGAGCCACAGGTGCTGAGCCATCTCTTCCCAATTCTAATGCTGCACTGTGCTCTACTCATTCACCTGCAATCATCTCACCAGATTTGGGAATGTTCCTCAAAATCCATCATGACGATGTGTACATTTACCTTTTTTTCTTCATGCAACAGGACTGATGTGAAGTATGTTAGGCAGGTTTAATTAAAATGTTTATATGCTTTCTGGCTCAGCACCTGTAGCTCAAGCGGCTAGGGCACCAGCCACATACACTGGAGCTGGTGGGTTCAAATCCAGCCCCAGTCTGCCAAACAACAGTGACAACTAGAACCAAAGGCAGGTGCCTGTAGTCCCAGCTACTTGGGAGGCTGAGGCAAGACAATCACTCAAGCCCAAGAGTTGGAGGTTGCTGTGAACTGTGACGCCACAGCATTCTACCCAGGGTGGTAGCTTGAGACTCTGTCTCAAAATAAATAGATAAATAAATAAAATGTTTATATGCTTTCCTTTAATTTATGATAGAAATCTTTTGCAATAGTAGACATAATTCTGTAATACAGCCCATCACAAATAGTGCTAATCAAAAATATTTTTAAATGTTTATTATTTGGGCGGTGCCTATGGCTCAGTAAGTTGGGCGCCGGCCCCATATACCTAGGGTGGCAGGTTCAAACTCAGCCCTGGCCAAACTGCAACAAAAAAAATAAAAATAGCTGGGCATTGCGGTGGGCACCTGTAGTCCCAGCTACTCCAGAGGCTGAGGCAAGAGAATTGCCTAAGCCCAAGAGCTGAAGGTTGCTGTGAGCTGCGATGTCACAGCACTCTACCAAGAGCAACAAAGTGAGACTATATCTCTAAAAAAAAAAAAAAACTTTGTTATTTTGCCATCATTGTCAAGGACTAATTTCATCTATTTTTTTGCCATTTTAAAGGACATATAATAAACCATGTTATTTAGTTTGTAGGTATTTCAATACCAATTCTTAATGAATCAAAAAATCAAATGTACACTCTGGGAGGCCAAGCGGGCACATTGCTTGAGCTCAAAAGATAGAGAACACCCTGAACAAGAGTGAGATCCTATCCCTAAAAATTGCCAGGCTTTGTAATAGGCACCTGTACTCCCAGTGACTTAGGAGGCTGAGGCAAGAGAATATCCTAAACCCCAAAAGTTTGAGGTTACTGTGAGCTGTGACACCCTTGCACTCTACTGAGGGTGACATAATGAGACTCTCAAAAACAAAAACGAAAAGCAATGGGATTGGGCAGGAAGACCCAGCATAAAATCTACATTTTGCATGTTTATTGTGCTTTATATGTGATCTTCTGGACACCCTGTAGTTTGAAATGTTGCTAATGCAATGAAAAATGTATTTAAGGCTCGGTGCCTGTGGCTCAAGTGGCTAAGGCGTCAGCCACATACACCTAAGGTGGTGGGTTCAAATCCAGCCCAGGCCCGCCAAACAACAATGATGGCTGCAACGAAAAAAAAAAAATAGCCAGGCGTTGTGGCGGGCACCTGTGGTCCCAGCTACTTGGGAGGCGGAGGCAGGAGACTTGCTTGAGCCCAGGAGGTTGCTGTGAGCTGTGATGCCAGGGTAGCTGACCTCTACCTAGGGGGTCAGCTTGAGGCTCTGTCTCAAAAAAAAAAAAGAAATAAAAAAGAAAAATGTATTTAACTTGAGAGTTTGAGGCCATTTACAGGCTTTAAATGCAACATCCAGACCACTTAATTGAAATAAGAGGACAGCAGCATCAGTGATAGCACCTCAGGCCCGTTAGAATGACTCACTCAAAAGACCAATGATAGGCTCGGTGCCCGTAGCTCAGTGGTTAGGGCACGGGCCACACGCAATGGGGCTGGTGGTTTCTAACCCTGCCCAGGCTTGCTAAACAACAAGGACAATAACAACAACAAAAAATACTTGAGCATTGTGGCGACATAATGAGACTCTGTCTCAAAAATAAAAAGAGAGAGAGAGTGGTGGCACCTGTGGC